AAAAAAAACAAAAACAAAAAAAACAAAATTACGTCAAAAGTCATTAACAGAGTGGAAAACGGAATGAGGACTCACTAAAAGCAGATTGCTACGGGTTTGTTGATTGATTGATGTTGGAATTAGATGTCTGTGCAACCTACTGTTATTTTCATTCTCTAAATCAATTTCCAAGTATTGGGAATTGGCTACATATGAATCAAATGATGGCTATTTTAAATTAGCCATCACATCTATATATACACCAGACAAGCACTTAGATTTGGAATGACATGGCGCAAGGACAAAATCTTTATGTCTCATAAGTATAAGCTAGTTGTTATGAGCATTTCAGTTTACAAAGGAACTGGTAGGCTAGAGGTAACTGAGCTCAACTTTTCTGTATGAAAATTTAGGTCTCAATCCATGGTTACTACAGACACAGTCTGCATGCCTCCTCTCTTCTTACGAGTTGCAGCTCAAAACCTACGTAGCAGTGTCCCTAGGCAGCATGAAGTATTATTTCAGGGAGTGAGCCTCAAGGAGCTGGACATCAACATGCCCCAACATCAGAAGCACCTCCTTTTAGTAGCTGAAGGTATGTGGGGGCCAGGAGAGAAGCCCCATATTGTTAGATACCCAGTCTGCAAATCTCTCCCACTTTAAGGAGAATTTTTAACTAATCTGAAAGACAGATTTATGAAAGGAACAGCATAGGGAATATTGTCAATAATATTATAATAGCGTTGTATAGTGACAGATGGTGGCTACACTTGTGGTGAACACAGCATGATGTATAGGGTTGTTGAATCACTGTGTTGTATGCCTGAAACTCCACTGTGTGTCAATGATACTTCAATAAAAAAGGGGCAGATTTATGTATTATATATAATATATACCATGAAACTAGGTCTTCCTGATCATATTAATCATGCTATAAAATAGAGTAGGCACATTCAGTCCTGCAGCCTGGGCAAATTATTATAGCTCTAGGTAATAAAGCAGACTTTTCAAGGTGGGTCTTTTCTGAGGACTGATTAAAATGCAGGCACCCCCTCTCTGGTGATTTTTACCAAATGCTGTCACTCTGGTAGTGGCTAAGTGAACTTTCGAGGTCATGGTTTATTTGTTCTATTTTTCCAGATCTGTTTAAATTAAGCATTTAAAAGTTGCAACCTTAATTTAAAAAACCATATTGGTTATATGTTTATTACATAAACAGTAGCTTAAATCATATCTGAACTTGGTTTCAAGTACATTTTCTGAGCATCTGATAATCTCAGATTATCAAAGCAACATTACATGAATAACAGAATACCAGTGAGGCATATATATGTGTGTGTGTGTGTGTGTGTGTGTGTGTGTGTGTGTGTGTGTGTGTGTATGTATATATACATATATATATATATGACGTGTGTGTGTGTGTATACATCAACATCCCCCAACATCAGAAAAACCTCCTTTACACACACACACACACACACACACACACACACACACACACACACACGTATATAAACAATGTCATCAACCAAGATGGTTAAATGATCGGTCCAATGTATTTACATATAAAAAACTTGGAAGAATGGAGCAGCCACCACTCCTTCTTATGACTAGGAGATTTTCCCCTTATATTGGATGTTCCTTTATGCAATTTTATCCATTATTTTAGTTACCATTTTAGGTTCTTTCTCAAAAATCCTGTTTCCCCTTGTTATTCTTTAACCTGCCCCCTTTTCCTTCTCTCTCCACTCCACTGCCTCAACCTTTTAGTCATTATTTGGCTCTTATCTATGGACTTGATAGTTTTAATCCTTTGTTAGAAGATGGTTCTTTCAATCTCAGTTTTTAAATTCTTCCAACCGTCTCATATTTTTCTAAATTTCATTTTTATTTTGCCTTATCACTAAAAATCATCTCACCTACCATGCAGGAAAAAAGAAAAAGAAATACTTGATTCATTCTGTCCTTTCAACTGAATGATCTAAAAACATTCATGCAGAAGGATATATTGCTTTCATCAGTGTATTAAAATCATGTCCTCATAACAGAGAAGACAAATTTCACATATTAAGCAAAAGTGAAGATAATAGTTATGATTACAAAAAACTTCTGGACCCAAATATACAAAGCTTGAGATACATTCTTGCTGTCACAATGAGCATCCATATAATTCACTAATGAAAATTAAGAATGGAAAGCAAGCATTCCTTTTAACTAAAATGCAGAAAAAAAGGAGATGATAGAAATCATGATTTCTATCAACGGATAATAGTAAGACCCATCCTCAGGAGAAAACGCATAGTATATTATACCTA